AGACTATGGGTTACAGGTGGCATTTAGGTTTCTCATTTTCAAATGCCACTGAAATAAACCAGAGAACAAAACACTTGAACACCCATACTTGTAACTTGCTTCCAAGTCAACCATAAATGCTGAAAAGTTATGCCTTGTTAAGAGTATCTTGGATGATGATTAAATTCTAATATTAAGCAGTGTTCAAAACTCTAGACACTGCATACTTTTCCCTATACCCTTACTGTATTATTTATATTATAGGAATAATTAATACTACTATCCAATAATCAATAGGTGCATGTGATGTGTTTCACTAATTACTCTAGCACAACTCATCACATTATTGAATTTTCTATAACTATAACAAAGATCAATATCTAAAGTAATCTTCTCAATATTTCTTCCATATTTCTTAAAATCCCTGTTTTCAATTTTTTTCTTTGTAAGCTGTCTAAATATCCTCTAATAAAATCATTAAATTATATCATCATTCCAGTAACTGAAATATTACCACCATTCATTCATTCATCCTTCAAAATAACTGAAATATTACCACCATTCATTCATTCATCCTTCAAAATAATATGTTTTTTATGATTTATTTATTTATGGATATAGAAGGCCAGAGGTGCAAAGGACTGTGAGGATTCCCCAGAGACAAAGCAGGGAGCAAACCGGCAGATGTATTGAAATACACAGCTGAGGGGAGCATCAGGCGTTTCAGAGGAGGTCTGTGGCACCATGTGGGTCACCCCACTGGCCAAGAATCAAACAGATGCTACAGTGGCTGCAGATAGCTCCATAGAGGGCACTTTAACCCATTGAGTCACCAGGGAGGGCTCAATAATTGTGTTTTAATAGGAATATTTGTTGTAAATGATAAATAAATGTACTTATATAACAGAATTACAAAAGTAACTTTCAAAAGTCTCACTAACCAAAAATCGGGGATATTGGAAAAAAAAAAGACTCCAAACACAGGTTGAAGGGCCATTGTCACAGAAATGCAGAAATGCAAATCAAGACCTCAATGAGCTACTCCCTCACACCTGTGAGAGTGCTCTCTATCAAAATGATCAGATATGGGCCCTCCCTGGTGGTGCCATGGGTTAAAGCACAGCGCTCGCACTGTATGAGGGACTAGCGGCAACCACTAGAACACAAGTTCAATTCCCGGCCCGGGAGGTGACCCACATGGCCCCGCACACCTCTCCTGTCTGGCCCGCTGCACCCCTCAGCAGTGTACTCCTCAATGTGGCTGTTCTGACCCCCACTCTGTCTCTGGTGAGTCCTCTCAACTCCTGCACCTCAGCCTGTACCCCAGTTCTGCATGCCTAAATAATAAATCACTCTTTAAAAAAAAATCAGATACAATGAGTACTAGTGAGGATAAAATTTATGGTTAAACAATATAAAGTCTCCATAAAAATAATGAGTATCTACAATTTACTCATTACGAGATACACACACACACACATATGTACACACACACACACATATATAAATGGTCTTTTGGTGTATATGTGTGTGTGGATAGATAGATAGATAGACAAACATAGATGCATATATAATTTGTGGCTATTTCTAGTTGTGAGGCTATCCAGTGACCTAAGTAAGTGGATGCAACAAGCAAAGAATTCCATTTTGGGGTTTAGTCTCAGCACTGTCACAGCTAAGGCTTGAGACCTATCCTTCAGGGAGGTGACCCACATGGCACAGCAGACCTCTCCTGTCTTGCCACTGCTCCCCTCAGCAGAGCATTTCTATCAGTCTGTCTGTTTTACTTCCTAGTCTGTCTCTGGTGAAAATCTCACACTCCTAGCCCACACCTCTAGCCTATACACCTGTTTTGTATGCATAAATAAAAAGATCTTTAAAAATAAATAAAGTTATGCCTTTTTTATAATTGTTTTAAAAATCAACTTTATTGAAGTATAATTTAAAAAACCATAAAATTAATCTCTTCAGAGAGAATAAATCCAAGACTTTAGAATATTCACAATTTGTAAACATCACTACTCTCCATACTTAGAAATCTTTGATCACCCAAAAGAAAGCAATAAACCAATTTCTCACCTCTCCTCAGTCTCTGCCAACCACCAACCCACTTTCTTTATCTGAAATTTTGACATTTCATAATATTTCATATAAACAGATTCACACTCAGCAAAGACCTTTATAAAGATGAATGTTACAAATATAAGGTTGAGCAAGAAATTTCAGACACAAGAACAATGATGTCTGTACTTTTCGATGTGTGTATTACATTTTTAATATTGTTTTTGTAAAATAGTCATCATTATACCAAATAACATGATAAGCAGTAAGACTTATGTAATCATAATGTTGTATTTATTTCCTAAAATGTCTCCCAACAGAATCCAAACTCTGTCCTACATTTTTTTTTTTTTAATACATACAAGAACTGGGTTATAGGCCAGAGGTGCAGGCAATGAAAACTTTCAAGAGACACAGAGTGGGGATAGAACAGGCAGACTGACTGACCTAACTATACTGCTGAGGGGAGCAGTTGGAGAGGCGGAGAGGTCTGCAGTGCCATGGGGGTCACTTCTCTTACTGTGGATTAAACTTGTGCTTCAGTGGTTGCAGATAGATTCACAGTGCTACTCTCTAACCCCCTAGTGCCAGTGGAGAGACCCCCTGAACTCTGCCATTCTTTTTTTTTTTTTTTAATAAAGATTTATTTATTTATTCATACAGAACTGGGGTACAGGCCAGAGATGCGGAGGGTGAGAGGATTCACCAGGGACAGAGTGGGGAGCAGAACAGGCAGATGGAGGAAGTACACTGCTGAGGGGAGCAGTGGGCGGGTCAGGAGAAGTCTGCCAGCCA